CTTCCTTACATTCTTTCTCTCCAGCACCTTTTCTTCTTCTTCTCTATTTTATTTTATTGTTCTCTACTTTTCTTCCTCTTTATTTTCTTCTTCCCTCCCCCTTTTACTCTGCTCGACCAACGGAGTTTTCTTTCTTTTTTACTTCTCTTGTTCTTCTTTCGTTTCCTCCTCCCCCCTTCAGATTCATAAGATCATTCAAATCTCTGTTAGATCTAAGCAATTCGCTTCAGGTCTGGGTTCGATTCAGATCTGTGAAGCAACTTAGCATCAACGAAAGTTCTTCTTCTTCCTCTTCAAGTCATCTTCGGTTTTTCTTCTTCCTCTTAAAGGTCGCCTGCGAGAATTCTGAAATTTTGAGATTGGGGGAAATTTCTGGAAGTTTGATCAATTTTGTCACTAAGTTTTGCTCTTGCCGATTCTGGTCTTCTGGAATAATGGGAGAGGGGTTGTGGTTGGACGGCAGTATGGGTGGCCAGGGGTGGGTAAGTGGGGTAAGGTGGAGGGTATTTTGGGAAGTCAAAGCAGATTTTAAATTTTATTAAACTCTGTCAAGTCAAAATGAGAACTTTAATTTTGGAGGGAGGGAGTAATAAATAACTCCCACTTCCATTGTTGATTTATTTGTAAACCTAACCTAGGTTGTTAATTACGAAGTGCACTACGGAGTACGTTTTAGACTATTCTTCCATGGTCCCAAAATTTAATATTTCCGTTTTACACAACATTTATGCTCTAAAGTACCCCAAAATTTCTAAATACCCCAAAATAACTTCTACCCGTCACGAACTACACTCTCTGTCCCTAAAAACATGCATGAGAGTTTAGGAGTTTTAAGAAATTTAAGAGAAATGTATTTTGGTGTTGAGTTTTTAGAAATGTTGTTTGGTGTAATAAGTAAAGTTGGATTTGATGGGTAGATTAATAGTGAATAAATGTGATGTGATATGTAGGTTAAAATTAGTAAAGGTAAAAGTAATTTTCTTATAGAACTGAGATTTTTTTTGAACGGATCAAAAAAGAAATGAGAAAAATTTCCAGAGACATAATATGATGTATTTTATACTCCCTCCGTCCTATATTGATCTTCCCACTTTGACTAAATGTCATTTTTAAGGGATGGATAATATGGCTTTGACTTTCAAAACTACCCTTCCTTCGCAACGGCAGTGAATGAGAAGAGGGGTGCAGCGCGGAGACGAATGGATGGACTAGGTCATGATTCTGCTAAGGGGGGAGTCGATGGGCTCGCTGAACCCGAAGATCCGAGAATCCATGCCGACGGAGATGATTGAGAGAGTCGGCGACGATTTAAGGGATGACTCGATCTACTCTCACTGCAACTAGCTCGAAAGAGTAAAAATTGAACGAACTTTCAAAAAATTGAAAAAGAAAACTAAAAAGACTAACCAAAAAATCATCACTGGAGTACTGGTTGTCGGCAAAGGTCAACACCGACAGATCCCGGTGCACAAACCACATACTTCCTGAGCACCTAGTTATCAGCAAAGTGCAACGCCAGAGTACATCTGGTTGTGGTCTCCGCTACAGGGCTGACATCCAATGAATCGCCGATATCTCCCCTTAATATCGGAGCTGATGAAAAATCATAGATAGAAAGGGGGAGAGAACTTTAGATCTGGATCTGTGATTTTGAGAAAGAGGCGAAGAAAAAAGGAGAGAGAAGAGAGACGGAGAAGATTAGATCTATAGAGGAAAGATGAAGATTAGTTGAGAATGAGAGGGAAGAGAGATGGAGGAAGGGAGAGGAAGGAGAGATGGAGGAAGAGGGAGAGCGAAGAGAGATGGAGGAAGAGGGGGAAAAGGAACAAAGACTGAAGACGGGTCGTATGGCCTCTTGGCATTAATGGCATCTCATAGAGTGGTCCATGACTAGTGTATTTGTAAGTTCGTCAGGGGTGCATCGGAAATCACCAATTGAAAGCTATGCAAACAAATCAATCAGTTATGCTGTAGAGAAGATACTGCAGCACTGTCATAATAACAGATGACAGACAGTGTGCTACAACACTTCTCTGTCACAAGCACACACAGAAGTAGATGATGTAGAAGGCGTTACAACGCCTAATGCGAAGAATGCTGTAACTATAAAATGAATAAAAAATAACACCAGATATGTTTACGCAGTTCGGAGCAAATTCTCCTAGTCTGCGGGGCCCACGTCCGTGTAATAGCCCTCCACTAAATCAATAGATGCAAGTTACACCGATACATAACAACATGATGAGACACACTTCTCTGAATTGTTATGACAAAACTTCTCATCTAGGATTTCTAACCCCAACTCTGTTCAGATCCGCTTCGGCTATCACATCTCCACCGAGATCACGAGGACAAACGTGTTGGCAGCCCTCTCCTTAAGCTCTTGTCCACCTCCTGGTTGTCATGATCTTTTTTTCATTATAGGAATCCTTCTTCATGTAGATCGTATCTTTCTTCATGCAAGGGAAGCTCCGGGACGTGACGGGAATGCTCTACATCAGTGTATATTCTTTGTTTTCCCTCTTGATCGCTCTACGTAATTCCCACGGACCTGCTGCAATTTTATAAGTTTATCTTAACTTAATCCTAGTAAGAATAGGTTAGTAGAAGTTGGCTTGAACTCAATTTCCTTAATCTTGATCCACAAGTAGCTTAAAGAGTTGGGATTTCTTAGCATGTAGAGCTTGAGTTATTATCATGTAATCACAATCCCAATAGGTCTCTAATTCAGATTGCAGCTTAAAGTCCCGTGCTCAGACCTATGATCCCGAGCAGTGTGTTACAGCATCGCGCTGTAGCATCTTCTGTGTCAACCTCGAAAACTGCAGCAACTCTAGAAGTCTAAATAAAAATAAATCTCTCATAACAAATAGAGGTTTCTACCTAGTAAAACACCTAACAAATATGAGATTCTATTTTACCAAAAGATTAGTCAACACCATGGAACTAACAATATTGAGTTTTTGGCCGAATAGGTTCGATGTGGTACGATTATGCAAGTATCTAAAACGAACTAACAAACAATTAATCATACTTTTGAATAAAGATAATTGCCTATATTTCGAATATTGTGTGATTGTATGTTAATTCATGTTGGTTTATTAATTAATTCTAGCATTAAATATTTACTCACTCAATTTTTAACTGAGCGTGTATCTCTGTTATCTTTGACTACACGGAGGTACGAATCAAGGGACAGATGATCAACTTGGAGGACACTGGGGTGTATCGCTGGTAGATGGTTGAAGCTCTTATGTCGCTGGTAGATGGCCGAAGCTCTTATGTTATTCTTTTAAATATTCTTTTATTTATTATTCATAGGATTAAAGTTGTTTGGATGTTGGATTTAAGGTTTCCGCAACACTTGGATTATTTTACTCTGATTAATTTATTATTTATTTTTAATTAATATGAATGAATGTTTTATTTAAATGTTCTTTGAAAATATTATACAGTTGAATACCAAATTCATAAGAACCAAATTTGCTAACTCTATGTGTTAACTCTTTGTTTCAAGTTACGTGGGTTTTGGGGTGGAGTCTTACAAAAGGCTTAATGTTTTTATAGAATGGGAAGAGTAACTAAGGGTGAGCATTGTACGATATGGTACAATATTTAGCTCGTATCGATATCGTACCAAATATTTTGGTTCGGTATGAGATTATACGTCGTACCAATCCCAATCCCGAAACTTTGGTTCGGGATGGTCCGTTTTTGGTTTCGGTATAAATTAGGATTAATACATACACACTTAATTTAAACTTTAAAATGTCACAAATTTTTTTTGAAAATTCAAAAGAATATTTAAATAAAGAAACTCGAAAATTAAAATTTATATGCAAGAAATGCTTATGAAACTTAGTTTATACTCTTGCCGACCCTTAAACTCTTTCACCTTTCTTTTTTCCTTGTCCCACTAACTCCTTTCGTTATCTATTAAAAAATCACTTTTATCCCTTACTTTTTCATACCTTGTCTATCACACCATACATTTTTATTAATAATCTATCCATCACATCTTACTTTTTAGTTTGGAAAAATTATCTCAAATAATCCCACCTTTTCGCGCTCTTTCAAAAATAATCCCACTTTTCATTGTCACCGAAAATAATCCCACCTTTTCGCATGTGTGCGAGTTTTGGGTCACCGTTAAAAAACTAACGGCCACTTAACGGAAGTTTTTGAAAATGACTGTTTTTTGCAAATAAATGAAAGGTGAGATTATTTTAGAAAAATTTACTTTTTACTTTTTTAGTTTTGAATTTAAAATTAATATTTTTAAAAATATAACAATACACTCTTGTTAGAGATTTGTCTAACGATTAACAAATTTTGTTAATTGTTTTGGGAAATATAGTATTGAATTATCAAAAATAATTCAGAGTATCGAATTGTTGTGTTATTTTCACAACTATTGTAATGTTGTTTCACAAAAAATATTTATATAGAACTATCGAAAAATATTCATAAGTTTTGTAGTGCCATTTTTTTAAGAAATAATAATAATGTAGTATCAAAAAATAATTTGAAGTGCATTTCAAGAAAAAATACAGTAAATGCAACTTACAAAAAAATGTACTTCATCCGTTATCAAAAACACTTCCTCTTTCATTTTTTTCCCTTCCAACAAAACACTTCCACTTTCTCTTAAAAAACCACTTTACCCTTACTTTTTCATACTCTACCTATCACATCATATTTTATCTCTAATAATCTATCCATCACATCTTACTTTTACCTATCACATCAAGGGAAAAATTGGAAGTCAACTACAATTTAATACTTCCTTATTTTTACACAAAGTCAAAAGAGGAACACTTTTTTCCAAACGGAGTAGTTAGTTATGAAGTTAATAAATTAGCTCTATTGTGTAGAATAATTTATTTTCTAATTATTACCATATTATTGGTTATTGAAAAAAAACAATTAGTTTCACTCTAAAAACACTTAAATTTGGTATTTTTTACAAAAAAAAATAAAATAAAAGGGAGAATTTATCTAAAATAATCCCACCTTTCATTTAAATGCGAAAAACGGGCATTTTTCAAAATTTCTATTAAGTGTCCGTTAGTTTTTTAACGGCGACCCAAAACTCGCACACATGCGGGAAGGTGGGATTATTTCTGGTGAGAGTGAAAAGTAGGATTATTTTTGAAAGAGAACTAAAAGGTGGGATTATTTGAGATAATTTTTCCTTTTAGTTTTTATCCATCACATTAAGGGTATTTTTGAAAAATCAACAACAAAATATTCCTCCCTTAATTTCCTTAAAGGTCAATAAGGGAAACACTTTCGGGGACGGTGGGAGTATTTCACAAACTAAAGTGAACAGATGATAATAAAATGATATTTCAAAAGTGTGTTAATATTTGTAAATCCATCTACAAAAAAATCAAAACTCAAATAAAATACAATGTGCAAAGAATAAATATTGAACCAAATTTTAAAAATAAATTTTATGATTTTTAGAAAAATTAATACTAAAACATTATTATATTGATGATATATTAATATATATATTCGATTCTCGATTTTGGAATTTTATAAGGGTTTTTTTTTGGAATTTTATCAGGTTTTTTTTTTGGAATTTTAGGTATCAGTTCCATAACCACCAAAACAAGATGTGCTAGTTCAAAGAGTTGCCATTTGGGGCAAGTGCCGAAGAGAAGGGAGAAGCCTGCAGAGATGGGAGGAGCAGTGAAGGAAGAAAGACGGAATCGTAAAAGGAAGAGAGAGAAGCAGCGCCGGAAACCTGCCGCCGATTCATCTTTGCTCCCTAGCGGCGATAAGAACAAACCCGTCGCTGCAACTTTGATTTCCGTCTCCCGGAGCAAAACAATCTCTAAACCCAACAACACTTCATCTTTTATCGATAAGGTTTCCTCTATCTATTTATCTATCTTTCGATCTGATAATAAGAGCAATTCCTTAGTGAGTATTTCCCCGTGGGTAGATGAGGGCGAGATTGTCAGGGGGACATTTCCGTATGATTAACCAGAAGCTCTATACTTGCTCGTAAGTTTCTTGAGCAAAAAAATTGCTATTGATGTAACGCCATAGCTCGTAGTTGAGCTTTTTTGCTGAAATTATCCGATGAGAATTTAGTTTTGTGTTTCTTTAATTCAGCGGAGACGCGGCACTGGACTATTTCAAAGAAGACCCACAGTTGTTTAGTGTGGTAAGCTTGCTTTCTCTGTTAGTTGGATCTTAATGTCACCATAAATTAAATTAATGGATCCAAAACATATAAAAATGAGGTTACTCCCATGTCTTCCTGATATGTAATTGCATGCTTTATTTTAAATTAATGGTGGAACTTGGAAGAAATATTCAGGAGCAGGGTAAAAATAACTGTGTATGTCTGTGGTTTTGTGTTTTGAGTATGATTTTTCTTTTGTCGTTATTGACTTACTAAAAATAACTGTGTAAAAATAACTCTTTCATGACTCACTAAAAGAGTTGTTATTGACAACGTTTTAGCTTTGGGTAAATAATGGATATTGGATTGGATCAAAACAGTGCGTTAAACTTCCATTGCGTTTTACTTTCTATGAAGTTTCGGGCAGTATATGCAGCAAAGCATCTATGCTCTAACGAAAATAACCTCTTAGGTTTTAGCAGGATTGGTTGCACACATCTTGAAGTAAGACCCAAATGGTGTTAGGATTATACTAGATTTTCGTCATCTTTTTTTCTCATTTAGAATCGGCATTGTATTGGGTTTCTATTTAACACATGTTCTTACTTACATGGCCAGTATCATGCAGGGTACCAAGAACAGATGTCGCATTGGCCTGAACAGCCAGTTAATATAATTATAAAATGGATCAAAGATCATGATCCTTCGTTAGTTGTGGCTGACTTTGGCTGTGGTAAGAATCCAGAGCGCTGATCAAAAACCTCGTATAATGCATAATGCATTTTTATAACTGTGTGTTCATGTATCATTTCAGGAGATGCACGACTCTCAAGAAATGTGAAGAACAAAGTTTTCTCTATTGACCTCGTATCACACGATCCTTCCGTTATAGCATGTGACATGGCAAATGTATGTGCTTTATGTGATCGCACAAAGATCTGTCCGCTTGAAAAGTTCGAAATGCTGTGTCCAGAATACTTATTAGTTCAGCCTTTGTGATAACCTTTTGAATTTTCCCATTTTCCATCTGTAGACACCTCTTGATTCCTCCTCCGTGGATGTTGCCGTCTTTTGCCTTTCGCTGATGGGAATCAACTATCCAAGCTATCTTCAAGAAGCTCATCGGGTTCTTAAGCCCAGGTATGGCATGCACTCTCCTAACTTGAGACATAATTCTTGGTTTTTACCTAACGTTCAATATCATTAATTATCATTTCAAAAGCCTTACATCCATAATCACATCCATAAAGTAGTGAAATCATAAGCCGCAGCTATTGATTCGCTATTTTCAACTGGACATGAACTCAGAGATTTACGAAGTGAATCACGTAAACAACTATTAATATAGCACATAACCAGTGGAAAAATTAAATCTTGCACCTAGAAGAGAAGAAAACATAAATAACATGGGAAGGAAACAACTCTTCTTTATTAGACAAAAACAACAGAAGAGCATAGATTAAGATAGATATGATGCCGGTGCAGATTAATCTTTCTCTATGTGTAAATTGCTTGACAATATCTGTTGTATTTACAGTGGATGGCTCTTAATAGCTGAGGTCAAAAGCAGGCTTGATCCGAATACCGGGGGAGCAGACCCTGGGAAGTTCATAAAAGCTGTATGTGACCTCAGATATTCCTGTGTCAAGAAGGTTTGCCTCTTCCATTAGAGTTGTTGATTTCAAGATAAAGGGTAACTATAGAATTCTTACCTATCTTATGCCTGGTTTGCAGGATTTCTCCAACAAGATGTTTGCACTCTTCTACTTCAAGAAGAAAAAGGTGATGGCATTTATATCATTGATTTGACAATGGTATTCTAGTGGGTTTGTGAATGTCATTGTGAAGGGAGTGTGCCCTATATTTAGATGGCTGTTGTTGCTTATTGTTGCAGGATAAGCAAAATGTGGAGGGAAGGAAAATTGATTGGCCTGAACTGAAACCTTGTATGTACAAGCGTCGCTGAATTAGGGCCATCTCGGTGCAAAACGAGTTCTTGCTTAGAACCTTTCCGTGAAAGGGTTCCTAATTCCCAATCCACGGAGAGGTTTCTTGGCATTGGTGTGTTTTCTTGGAGTTCTGATAGTGGATTCTTTTACAGTTTGGGTACATTTAATGCTCAGTTCATTACCACTACTACACTATATTGTTGTTAAGCAGAAAGCTCTTCGTTAGAGCAACTCCAATGAGAGGGGTATAGGAAAGGGTAAAGAGGAATATTTGTGATATATACCTCTTTTCATTAAAAATCATTCTCCAATGTGAGAGGTAAACAAGAAGCTATTATACCTTCTTCAATTTTGAAGATGTATCAAAAATGCCATTGAAGATGGCATTTT